TGATTAAATCCCACCAAAATTCGACGCAGTTACGTATAAAACCGGATGCTAGATTAATAAAAATTTTGTTGATGAATCACAGGATATCAATATTAATACTAAACAGTTCCGGTTAAATTTAACCGGCAAATGCCAATAAATTCATAGAAATAATTATTAAGAGTGAAAAAACGTAAATAAAGTTATTTAATAAACTAATCGTCTTTAATTATTTACGAAAACGTTCGTGGTTCGGTGCACGTGCACCCCAAAACCCAACTCCACGTGTATCGTAACAGAGACCCCGTTTATAAAGCTAAGTTGCCAAATTTACAATACCTAGCCAAAAAAACCTCCTAAAAATGACAACATTTAAAATACCACCTAATTTCATAGGCAAATTTGCATAAAAACATTATTCCATGTACAAAAAAATAAAAAATTAATCGATTAATCACTTATTCGCGTTTGTTTTTGGGTGCATTTGGCAACACGGAAGTAAAATAAGGGCAGCAGAGGTAAACATTATAGTAACTGCGTAGTTTGATGACGTCAGGCAATCTATAATCTAGTGGGTCGTATAGACGTCTGCGCGCGCCATTTTTTTTCTTCTTCCTCCTCTGCCGTAGGCGGCAATTCCACAGAGGGCCGTTCGTATTGAGTGTCGATTGTTTATTAACAAATATTATATTATTGGAACACGCTGGGGTTTCCGATATTAGCTACATATTAAGTTACTGAGCAATCGATGAATTTGTTGGATTTTATCGAAAAACGTTTTGGCAGCGCATTTAGGGGTTTTTGTTTGTTTTTATGCGAACATGCTGGAACTTTGTTTTGCAAACAAAAGGACAATTGATAGCATGTCAACATTAAATACTGCGTAGGGAGTAGTAAATGTATTACATTCGTTTAAAAACAAAACAAACATAACGATTATCTATTTCTTCCTAAAATACAATTTGTTGTAAAAGTATACGTTTACAACAAATTGTATACTTATACTTATTCCAAATATTATTAGTAGTTATACGTTTTGATAGCTATTTGAGTTTGTGTGACTAACCTAAAATGCCTAAAAATATCCCGGCGAATTCGCCAATTTTGTTAAAATAATATACTATATTATTATTAAATACACAATAAATATACTATATTATTATTAAATACACAGGGTATATCCTAAATATATTATATTTTTTGATTTTTTTTAACAAGTTTTTTTCAGTTGCTTCTTAATTTTTATGTAGTTTTAAACTAATTAAATTAATTATTATAATAATTCAACTTTTCACCCATTCTATATCAAGTTTTATAAACGCCATTTTAGTTACGAGTTTAATTAAGCACGAGCGAAGCTTGCGAGCGAGTGTTTAATAAAAACGAGTGTCTAAAGAAGTTTATAAACGAGTTGCATACTATACTTTATCTACGACGAACACAAAACAGAATTTAAAGCCAATTTTATTTGTTAAAATTTTGACATCTGTCAACTGTCACCCAAATTTAACCTCACTTTTTCCCAATTTATAATAAAGCTAACTTCAGCCCGTGGCGTAAAATGTCGAAAAGCCACTGTTGTTAACTTCAGCCCGTCAATAAAACGCCATAAAGTCACAGCTCGTCAATGTAGGAGTAGATAATAGTATATTATGGATCAAGTTTTATAAATGCCATTTTAGTTACGAGTTTAATTAAGCACGAGCGAAGCTTGCGAGCGAGTGTTTAATAAAAACGAGTGTCTAGAGAAGTTTATAAACGAGTTGCATACTATACTTTATCTACGACGAACACAAAACAGAATTTAAAGCCAATTTTATTTGTTAAAATTTTGACATCTGTCAACTGTCACCCAAATTTAACCTCACTTTTTCCCAATTTATAATAAAGCTAACTTCAGCCCGTGGCGTAAAATGTCGAAAAGCCACTGTTGTTAACTTCAGCCCGTCAATAAAACGCCATAAAGTCACAGCTAGTCAATGTAGGAGTAGATAATAGTATATTATGGATCAAGTTTTATAAATGCCATTTTAGTTACGAGTTTAATTAAGCACGAGCGAAGCTTGCGAGCGAGTGTTTAATAAAAACGAGTGTCTAGAGAAGTTTATAAACGAGTTGCATACTATACTTTATCTACGACGAACACAAAACAGAATTTAAAGCCAATTTTATTTATTAAAATTTTGACATCTGTCAACTGTCACCCGAATTTAACCTCACTTTTTCCCAATTTATAACTTCAGCCCGTGACGTAAAATGTCGAAAAGCCACTGTTGTTAACTTCAGCCCGTCAATAAAACGCCATAAAGTTACAGCTTGTCAATGTAGGAGTAGATAAAATAGGTTAAGATCTTTTTGGTTATTAAAAAGTTTATGCAAAAAATTACATAAAAAAGTATATTATATTTTTGCGGTTTTCAACTAGCATGGAAAAATGGTTACTTTTATAACTTTAACGTTCTTCCTCGTGAAAACACATGCACAATGAGGTTGTGACATGCAATTTTATATTTATATTTGAAATCCACGCATACGAGTTTGTTATTAATAGTATATTATGAATCAAGTTATAAACGCCATTTTACACGAATTTAATTTAAATTAATTAGTGTATAGAAAAGTTTATATACTATACTTTTTCTACGACAAATACTTATTATTATCTTAAAATGATTTAAATCAAAAATTTGTATAGAGCGCCATCTATGAAACAATAGGGGAATCTGTGTGTCACCGTCAAATGTCAATTTTTTTTATTTTATAAGCACAGATTATAAAGGTTATAAATCGAAATGTATTTCTTGAAAATTGACATTTTTTCACAGGGAAAGTAAAGAAAATGTTTTATGAGCACTTTACAGTGGAGTCCGTGTCCGAGTTATAGTTTACTGCCGGCGAAATTAAAAGGTCAGTACAATGTTCATATAAACTTTTCAAATATTGGCGTTGAGAAACTTTAATACTTTTGTATTTTTGTATTGAGATAATAAAATAATTACATTTAGTATTACAAGAAGGCACTTTATTTTAACGATTGTATGACATTTGACAACTGTCAAATAACTTAAAACTAACTTCAGCCCGTGACTAAAGCGCCATAAAGCCACAACTTGTCAATGTGTATTTAAAAGGTCACTTAGTGTCATGGAAACATGTACGATAAAGGGCGTTTTAAAGGTGGGAGTAGAAAAAATAGGTTAAGATCTTTTTGGTTATTAAAAAGTTTATGCAAAAAATTACATAAAAAAGTTTATTATATTTTTGCGGTTTTTAACTAGCATGGAAAAATGGTTACTTCCCACATAACACAAAAATATATATAAAATATTAAATGAATATTTTTGCTAAATGAACTAAATATTTTAGAAATATTAGTCATTTTCATTTAAATGTCTCTAAAATGTTTTTAGAACATTTAGATGTCCCACTTTTTATATTTATACAATATTTTTCCACAACATTTTTAAAACATTTTTGTAAATGTTTTATATACATTACCTTATATTTTATTAATGTTTTCTCAACATCACCAAAATATCTGAAAATATTTTCGAAATATTTACAGTTCATTGCATATTTATTTTAACAATGTTTTTGTAAATGTTGATAAAATATTTCTTTTATATTTATACATTCCACGTTACTCGGTAATTTTTGCCCCGCCCGTCATAATTAAAAATTGTGAGTAAAAACCACAAGTTATTAAATTATTATTTTATAATGATATTTTTATTGTGCTTATAAGCTTATTACAAGCATAATAAACAATATTTTAAAATAAATTTAATAACGTGGGGTTTTTACTCACAATTTTTAATTGTGACGGGCGGGACAAAAATTACCGAGTAATGCCCCATTTATAAAAGCCGTGTGACATCCGATACTTTTTGTGTACTGTTTTTTTTCTTTTTTGGAGTGCAAAAAGTAGATGTGGTATTCTCATAGCAGATCTGCTATATCGATATAGTAAAACAGTGAAATACCATAGCTGGAGATATATTTTTGCACGCTAAAAATACAAGAAATTTGAGTACAGTTCTTAATAAAAAATATTAAAAAAAAAAGTTTATTTTAAAAATAATTGATATAAATAAACAAATTATTATTATATTAAATAAAAAAATAAAATAAACAAATATATAAATAAACAAAACAAAAATTCTTTGGAAAGAATCACAAAAAAAAATTCTTTCTTCAGTAACGGTTTTTCTTATTTACTTTTTTTTCCTAAATTTATCTTGGGACAACCATTGTCTCAACTCTGGTAAAATTTCGTTTTCTGTCGCATTATTTGTTTTCGGATTCTTCCGGATGGAGGCTAAAAATAATTTAATTTATACAATAATTATAATAATTATTGTTGTCTGGTTTTAAAATTTTTGTTAATAAGAATTTTATATTATAATCGTCTTCAATAGGGTGGCAATAACGCGGTACCGTACCGCCGTGATTTAGTACACTACCATTCATAGATAACAAAGCCATTAATAAATAGTAATAATAATCTAAACAATAAAAATAAATATAATACATACCTTAATCTGGATAATTTATTATTAGCGTCGCACACAGGTTTTTCTAGGGCGTCACACTTAAAACACACTCAACAAAGCAAAAATGGCCGAACCATAGATTATAAAAGCCGACACAGTCACTGGTGACTGCAAGAATACATCCAGCGCCGGTTTCCGTTATGGGACCTAAAATAGCCAATAAAAGCAATGATTGTGGGCGGAGTCTCGGCCGTTGACGTTTGACAAGCAGCGCCAATATTTTTGCTAACCTCCAAAACTACTTATTATTTTAAGTTGTTTTAAAAAATTCTGAAAATAAACCAAATAATTTGGTGTAAAAACAAGTGAAAGTTATAGTTCGACGTCTAGAACCCCCACATATTTTTCAAACTTTGGCTTTTGTGTTTGTGTTATTCTGTTGCGGTTTTTTTTTGCATTTTATATACCCAATAACTCTTTAGCAGTGTTTTCTTTGTCGAAAGTATAAAATAATATTTGTATCACGATATGGAAGATGTGTCATCGTCAGTAAATGACGACTATAGTGTGAGTACCAAACATAAGTAATATTTGGCTCTATTTTTTCTCGAAATTGTTATTTGTAATAAAAAATTAAGTTTATATTCTATGTAAAAAGGTACCTAAATTAACAATTTTTTAGAGTATTTTGCCACCTAATTGGGGAACAAAGATTATCGAAAAAAAGATTATAGAAGGTGAAGATAAATTCCCAAACATCCTATTACACTTTGTTGTTAATTGCACCAACCAAGAAGAGTTTGGAAAATGGTTAACAGAGTTTGAATCGTTAACAAATGCATCATATGTTATTAGTAATACAGATATTGAGGATGGAGAACGGATTAAACTTAAGAGAAGACTAAGGTATGTAAAATATTTGGAAAATATGGATAAATAGGTATTTTTACAGAGCATATTACAACTATCTTCTAAAATAGTGTAGTGTAGTGTATAATAAAGTCTCTAATTTAATTTTAGGTGTCACCACTTTACCCGGTGCTTAAAAACTTACGAACCATCTAAAAAAAACAAAACAAGAAATACTAATTGTCCCTCAAAATTAACAGTTAAAATTCATGTTATTAGAAAAAATTACAGGGGAACACAAGAAAAATTTAAACTTCTACATGAAGCCCCTTGTGAAATAACTCTTGTTGTAACACACAATCATACAACTGGAACTGCAGATTCTTTGCGGTTTCGGAAAGTTGGTGATAATGTTAGGGAAGAATTATTAAATCTTTACCAGAATGGACATACAGCAGGAACAGCATTAGAAATGATTAAGTGTAATATCCAACTAGCTTGTGATGACTACATCACAGCATTAGCAGACCGTAATAAATGCCCAAGTTACAAATACTGCTATGACTTATACATGAAAGAATTTAAGAAAAAATATGGCCCTATGAAATTTGATACAGAAGCAAAAGTATTTTTAGAAAATAAACTTACTTTATACAACAATAACCAAAAAGATCAATGTGCAAAAATTATTTTAATTGGTGAAGAGAATGATTATGTTATTGGGTAAGTTGAATAATATTTTAAAATATGCCAGGGTTTTTATAGTTTTATTTTTTTTAGCATTTGTACTCCTATTATGAAAAGAGTCCACAAATATGTCGAAGCTGCTTCTGAAATTGTATTTATTGATTCTTCGGGAACCATGGATAGGGATGGAAGTCGGATCTTTGTGATGTTGACACACAGTGAATGTGGAGCTTTACCACTAGGGCTTATAATAACAACATCTGAGTCTGTAGATGCTATTAAGTGTGGCTTTAACATAATAAAAGAACTCTTAGGAGAATTTATTTTTGGGGGACATGAGGAAGGTCCAGCAGTCTTTATGACAGACGATTCCCAATCAGAACAAAAGGCAATTGGCGAAACTTGGCCTCAGTCAAAAAGACTGCTATGCATATTTCACGTTTTGCAGGCAGTCTTTAGATGGCTTTCAAAATCAAAAAACAATATTCCCAGAAATCAACAATCAAATATTTATAAAGATTTTCAAAATATTTTATATGCCAACAGTATAGATGAGGCGACATCCAAATATAATGTAGCTGTTGAAAATGCAAAGTTGTTCCCTAAATACATCAATTACTTAAATAATTATTGGTGGCCAAAATGTGAATGTTGGGTGAAGGCCTATAGACGTAATGTTTTAATAAAAAACAATCACACCAATAATTATTCTGAAAGTACAATTCGTCAACTCAAAGAAAAAATATTTTCCCGTATAAAAGCTTTTAACTTAATACAAGTGGTGGATTTTATGTTAACCAAATTCGAGGACTTCATACAGAGAAAACTCTTAGATGCTACCAGCAACCGCTCCAGAAGAAATCTTTTGGATAAGGACATAAAAATGCCTCCCTTAGAGTTAGTAAAATATATTAAGAAATTTAGTGACAACATAGTTGGTGTTCCAAGTGAAACCATACCAAACTTGATATACCTAGTCAATATTGAAGCCCTTATTTGCACATGCACAGTGGGAACTACAGGTAATAAATATTAATTAATTTCTGCTTAAAAATTAAATTTGCATAAAAAAATTGATACCTACCTTATAGGTACTATTAAGAAAATTATTGTCAATGTTTTTAAAAAATAAATTTCTTTTTTTACAGGTGCTATTTGCAAACATATTGATTGGGCAAATGCTCTCTTTTGCACAGACAAATATCTTAACAAAATAGATAACATTAAAATTAAAGAAAAGCTTTATTTTGTGGCTACTGGGCAACCCAGTAAAGGCGACTGGCTTTTACCATTAATTCCTACATGTAAAACAAAATTAAACACTGCTATAATAACACAAGAAAATAGATCTTCAGATTTTGAACACACAATAAGCATACCATCAACCAGTAATATGGCTGTACCATTACCATTTGATCCTGATGAAAGTAAAAACAAATATACAGAGTTGTTAGCTAAAATGACCCAATCCTTTGATAAATTTTATGAAAAATCACCACTAGAAGTCACAAACAGCATGGAAAAAATGATATTTACATTGGATAAAATTAAAACACCAGCATCATTTTCATCTGCGGTTGCCACATTTGGATTTGGTATGAATTTTTTGGCTATTTTTTTTAAATCAAATTATATTTTCGGTTTGGATTTTAAAGTTTATCAAAATATTTTTTCCCCCCGGTAGCAGTTACACAAGGATTCTTTCAAGCTACAGGTGTTAAAATTTGGTAGGTTTCAAATATTATGTTTTCTGGTCTGGTTTAGGTCTTGAGCTATTTTGGTGCTGGTTTTATTCTGATAATTAGCAAGATAAAAATGGTTTTATGGGTTTTCTGATTTATGAATATTTTCTCTTAATTGTTTGAATTGTAAAAAAGTCCTGTCAATTAAGTAATAATTAATTACCTATTTTTCCCTTAGGAGCTGACGGTAATCGAAGAAGGGGAAGAATTATCCCAGTCCAGAACACCTCAGTTGGACGAAGGGTTATTAAAAAACAAAAGAACAGAAGGGTAATTAAAAAACAAAAGAGAAAAAGTAATGTAAATAGAAAGTAATAAATAAATATTGGATTCCATATTTCTCTACTTATTTTAACTATGGTACCTATGTAGTTAGCAAAAAATTAATATTAAATATTAGGAATAAATTATTTAAAAAAATACCAATAGTAGCCACTCCGGAGTGCTTAAACATTATATGAATCGTGTATTTCATACCATTTTTTCTATTTTCTGTTCAACACAGCGATTTGATGACATTTAGATGCTTTAATAAGTCTAATAAAGCAACCAAAACAAAAAAAACACTTTAAAATAAAAATTTAAATGTTTTTCTATGCGATTAATCAACTAAAATAAATTCAAAAAAACGCGCCAAATAATCAAGTCCCGCCCACTAACGTTTCCATTGGTCTATTTCTATCCCATAACGGAATCCAGCGCTGGATGTACTCCTGCCTGGTGACTTTAGCGGCCGAGCCTCAGACAAGACCTTTTTATAGAGAGGCGCTGACATCACAAAACTTTGAATTAACTTTTCAAAAAGTTTATAAATATTGTTAAATAACTCAACAATATTTAGGATATAATATTTACATAACATTGTGAAATAAATGTTAAAAAATATTTACATGATATTTATGAATGTTTTAGATATATTTACGCGTAACAGTTATAAAAATATTTTCCCCTGAATGTTTGTACAACATTTAATCAACCTTATATTTATAAATATTGTTCTCTAAACAGCCTGACAACATTTTTAAAACATATTGTGTTATGTGGGTTATATAACTTTAACAATTTTTGAGAACGCTATAGCGTATACAGCGTTTAAAAAACGAAAGATTCAAAACTCTTCGATGACCTTAAAGAGAGCGCATGACGTCGCGATGTTAGATATAACAGATGTGTCAAGAATTACGAATGAATCCAGCATCTGTTTCTAGCATTTTTTTTTTACTTTTTATGACATTTAATTTCGAATCTAATTAATTACTTATGAACTACAAACCGATACATTTTCCAAAATTTTGACAAGTTTAAATATCAACCAACTTCAATCTTGGAGGTAATATATTTAGGGCAAAAATAACTTCAAAATAAGGCATCACTCGACCCACCTTCTAATTTTGGGGGTAACTATCACCCACGCTGAGGGGTTGAAGTTGGGGGTTTTAAAAATATAAAAATAAATTGTCCCTCTAAAATCAAAAATCGACGTGTGCAGTGTTTTTCGTTTTTTTACGTAGCACCTAAGAAAGCCCCCACCCTGAATTTAAAGAAATCCAACTTTTTATAATAATTCTTAAATTCCAAACTACAAAAATACCACCCTATATATTAAAATAAACTACTGCAAAAGTAGGTTGAAGCTACAATTGTAGAATGAAGCTAAAATTGTAGGAAAGAGATTGCAAAAATCAAAGTTGGTTTTGGCTTAAACTTGTAAAATTATTGTTGGCCCTTTTACGTCTTTGTAGGAAACTCCAGCTTTCTGTATAAAAAGTTAAAATATGTTTTTTTTTAACTTTTTATAGGGAAAGCTGGAGTTTCCTCGGTAGTATTTCAATTGTTAGAAATCCTAACTTAGGATTATCATACAATACAATCAATAAAAAAAGTGTCCGCAATATTTCCCAAAAACAAAGAGTCTTTTGTTTGTGTTTTGGGCCCTTAGGTGGACCCCATGGGGGAGTAAGTAAAATGTCTATGAATTATAGATTAAAGAGATTAGAAAGACTACTTAATAATATTTTCGTAACATATAAAACCCGCATACAGAGGTGTATTAACAGTGGCCTAGCGTCCAAAAATTTAACGTTACCGTTTTCTATTTATTAATTTCATATGCATTTTATCCTAAATCCTTTTTTCGTTGGTCGAGTTTGTCCTGTTATTTAATTTTAGTTACCGGCTTACATTCCGCAAATTTTCTTGCACCCACAATGCAGCTTACGTACTATAAAAATAAATCCACGTTAATGATTTTGTTTCTAAAACCCCCTTGACAACAACAATTTGAAAAGTAAGGTATACACCTTTGCATATGTGCAAATTTGTGTAAAAATAAAAAGGCTTTAAATTTTTTAATTTTGCGGTATTTATACAAGTAATTAGATATAAATATATTTAAAATGAATCCTCTTACCATATAACAAAGATACCTTTCTATTTATTAATCCCATCTACAGTTCGTTAGCTATTTCCCAGTACGTTACTAAAAGAACACTACTAAAATCCGCCATGTTTGTTAGAAAACTGTCATTGAAAACAACATAGAAATAACAGTGTTATTTCTATGGAAAACAAATTCCTAAACAAAAATCTGCAGATCGAAGCAAACTGCAAATGCGCAGTAAAAAAAGTTACCCATAGATGGCGCACACTATTTTATAGATATCTGTAAAATAGGGTTGTAATTTAAATCTTGCAGGCAGATGGCAGCATACTATATAATATTGAATTCACAGGTCTGTGAGGGAATTATTTTTTTTTTACTTTACACATACTAAGATAAAAATTACCAAATTTAAGAAATAAAATTTGGAGTGATTTTACTAAGATTGCAAAAGCAGTCACTCTATGTTTGTTTGTTTTTTTTAAATTAACACAAAAACTTTGTTTTTTATACTTACCCACCTATTAAATTGTTAACGCTTTTAAGGATGATTAAAATTAATTTGTCAGCTGAAAGTCATAAAATAAAACAGATGCTTATTGCACTTTTCTGAATATTACAAGTGCCTGTGCTAAACACAAAAGAATACAGTGCACCGCTTCACTATCAAAGACGTACGCGCTCAATTTGACCTCGTAAAATACCGGTTCATTTGTTCTTTGTGTGGCTTTTAAATTTCGCGTTATTTTAGTAAAAGTATACGTTTCAAGTGTGTTTTAGTTGTTTATACTCGTGGATTATTGTTTTGTGAGTGTATTGTAAGAGTTTTTGTGAGTTTTTTTGACGATTTGGATGAAATTTAGGTGGTTTTCTAGAAGGTATCTTAGCCGGCGTTGAAGCGGAAAAGGTAGAAGAACGTAGGTCTTAGCTAGGGGTTGATCAATCGTTCCAGCTGATTTTGACGCTTGTTGCCAGGCCGAAGCGAATAACGCGCTCTCATTGGTCGGAAGGGCACCAGTGGCGGATCCGGCCGTTCGATCAGCTGATATAGCGGCCGCTGAGTTCTTTGTCAGCCGGGCCTCTGTGTTAGACGGTTCTAGGAAATCCAACTGAAATTAATTAAAAATTATGCTGTGAGGTCCAACAAGAAAACGAGATGTTCCGAAGTAGTTTTCAAGAAGAAAGGGTCAACAAGGACTCCAAATTGCAGGCGGTTTTTAGCAAATTAACAGGGGTTCTTCCTAGGGCCGAAGATTTAGGCAATGGAAATCCGAAAACTATGTCCTCGGATATCATCGAATCGGTTTTGGCTGACACACCGGTTCCAACAAGTAAGTTTTGATTTTGTTCCTTCAACTCGTAAAAAATCTTATCTTTGGGAATTTTTTTCTATGGTTTAAATGATTATACCGATAATAAGGATTCAATCCATTTTGGGTGACATGCATATAATAAAGTGTATTTTAAACTATGTAAATATAAATTTTAATTAAAAAATATTGAAAATTCACAAAGATATTGCGTTTTTCTTAAAACGACTTTTTTAAACGTTTTCCAGCTATAACTTATTTTTTTTTCAATTTGTAGACTACCATTTTTTAGACACCTAGTAAAAAATTTGCAAAAGAGACAAACTTTTTTAATTTTCAATATTTTTAAATACAAAATACATAGTTAAAATTCGTAAAAAAGTCCAGTAGGTATAGTCTAACCCGATCCTTTTGTACAAAATAATAAATATTTTTTTTGACCTCTTAACGGTCAAATTACTAAATTGTGTTTAAACTTTAAAATACCTACGAACTAAAAAACTTTTTAAAACAAAAAAATTGTTAATAGACTATTTTTATATTTATTTCCTCCTACTAGTTTTTTCAAAAACTTTTTTGTAAGACTAACGGTTTTTTTAATTGCTAACCTAACTAATAATACCTATATAAAGAACTTTTTACAATTACGTATAAACATACTATTAGGTACTCTTTCTCTTTAAAAAAACAAAAAAGCTTTATTGTGACGTTTTTTATTTTTGTATTTTTATTGTAAGTTTTTTCTTTGCTGTAATTGTACATGTAATGAAATAAATTATTATTATTACTAAGACATGCTCCACACCCAAAAGTCACACCTTGATATTGGAATAAAAGTAGGTAAGTGAGGTTATCTATATGTCATTTTAACGCCAATATCGTCTTATTTTCTGCAAATAATAGGTATATTATATATTTACACACAAATATTGGTATATTGGTGAAATCTTATAATATTATTAACGGTATCAATATTTATTATTTGCAAACAGAATACAAAAAAATCATGGATTATACGATATTAATCCCACTAATTGCAACGCAGGGTTGTTCTTAATAAGGTTCAAGTTTCAATCGATTTTCGCCTCGTTGGGGGAAAAGTGTATTAGGAAAATTGTCCAAGAAAAAAATTAAACAATCTAGAATAATGGAAAAGATTAGTAATTCATTTGTTCTTCAAAACCCGTTCCCCAAAGTTCAATTAATTAACTTTACAACTTTTTTATACCGCTTCCAACGCGAAAGAAAAATGAGGCAACGTCACTTTAAATGCACTGTGTGCCAAATCAAAAACCCTAACAGTTCTTTGATTTTATTTTTAGTTCAACAATTTGGAAGGTCTTCATTTGGTTTTTGTAGATGAATAATATTTAAAAAAAAAACAAAAATAAAAAAATATGTGCCATGGTAAAGTGTTTGTCCCTCCTTAATCTTTTTTTTGCCCACTATGGTTTATAGGGTCGGCTTTTGCGGGAATATTTAGTCGGTATAACCGAGATAAGCCGCATCGTTTTCGTACATAAAAAGACCGATTAAAAAAACAGACGTCCCAGCAAAAATTAATATCCCTATTTTGTTCTCCACTCAACCCTTATTTTTTGCCATACTTTTTTATATCTGCTAAACTTGGCTCGTGTTTTAATTTAACGTTTTTTTGTTGTTGTTAAATTAGGGAGTAAATACGAAAAGTTTAGCAGTTAAATATTAATAAAGTTTCTTTGTCTCCAAAAACTTAGGATAAATGTTTTATTTATGTAAAAACTATCAAGCAAGCGATTGTGTTGTGTTTTTGTAGTAGGCGCCTTTGTTATCAAGATGGAAAACAATCAAAACAAAGATGTTATTCGAAGTCTTGAGAGAAAAATAACAAAATAAATATGGGCATACTTTTTATACAAGGTTTCAGAAATATACTGCAAAAACCTTTTATTCTTAAATAATTTGATTATTTTGCCTTATTTATTTTAATTTTCTGGGTGTTGTATTTTCTTTATAACCCTTTTTAGGATATTGCTTGCTTATAATATTTTAATTGGCAATGGTTCTGGCAGAGAGTTCTACTATTTTAAGTCTTTTTTGTAAATGGATAAATTGTTTTGTAATAATTCGTTCAGGAATAGAAACATACAACTTTTTAAGTTAGTTTTGTTTGGATATACTTTAATCGATTCTAAATCAATGCTCTAATACTATGTAATAAAGTTTTAATGATTTGGCAATATTAAAAATTTTCAATAATTTAAAACATAATAAATCCTTTTGACTTTTCATAATAAAAAACCTCAATAACTGTTAAGGTTTGGGTTTTCGTAACCATTATTTATTGCCTCAGTCATCCTAAGGGAAACAATCAAAGCAAGCGGGTTTTTATTGGTGTTATTAAATGAAATAACCGATTTTAAAGGAAACTGTTTCTTGTTATTATTTTTTAACAATTGCATTTGATTATACGTATGTGTGTGAGGTCGATAACACTACTTCACCTGATTGGAGAAAGTGTACTGTGTTGTTAACTTGTTAATTTGCGATTGCCACCACCACGATTTAATAATAATAATAATGCGGGGTCCACGAACTCGAATAATAAAAAAACCTACAGGGCCGCTAACTGTAAGACTAGGTAAATCAAAAGACTAAAATAAACTAATTTTGTATCGAACTTTTAACAAAATTTTATTATAAGCTTAATAGAATTATTGTACAAAAAAAATGGTTTCTAAATCTACTTCATCCTTTTCCACCCTACCGTATACTTTAGTAACTTATAAAATGGGTGTACTTACAGAATTTGTATTGTTAATATATTATAGGGTGTTTCAAAGAACTATAACTTTTAGAGGGACGAGGAATCTTTTGAACCTAAATTAAAATTTCGATCTAAGGGGGTTAAGTAATCTTTTCCATAATTTAAATATGAAAAGGGATCAGGTAACACATCTTTAATATTATATTATGTATCAAGTTTGATAAACGCCATTTTAGTAACTAATTTAATTTAGGCACAAGCGAGCTTGCGAACGAGTGCTTAATTAAATGAGTGCCTAGAAAAGTTTATAGACGAGTTGCATACTATACTTTTTCTACGACAAATACAAATACAAAGTTACCATCCCAATAAACATTTTTGACGTGTCCGTTATTATTTTAATTAAACTTAACAATTATTGATAGGTACTTTAAAATATTAAAGTAACTTCAAAATATGATTATGTTAAATATATACATATATAAAATATTTTATCCTTTGATTTTTTTTATTTCTATAATTGCAAAATCACAAGTATTAAAAATTCTTACACGGAAAAAAGTACAAAAAGTGACATTTGAAATTTCTAACTTGGAAATCTACCGGCGTTAAAATTTCAAATTTTTTGGTGTAAATCAAAATTTATCCCATAAAAATAGACCAACATCACTGATGAAGTGTTAAAATTGAATCATCAGTTAAATCTAATACAGTAATACAGCAGAATCAAAAAGTCAGTCCAAACGTTCATATAGGTAATCTTTTCAAATATTGGCGTCAAGAAACTATTTAATGCTTTCGTATTTAAGATAATAAAATAATTTTTACATTTAATATTATTTTACAAGAAAGGCAGTTTATTTTAACGATTGCATGACATTTGACAACTTTCAACTAACTTAAAACTAACTTCAGCCCGTGACTAAAAACCTGTTGCTAACTTCAGCCAGTGACTAAAACGCCATAGTCACACCTTTTCAATGTAGGAGTAGATAAAAGACCTTATTACTGTATTCTGGTGAAATATGTACAGGGTGATCCCCTATAATGTCGCCCCCTTTAACTTTTTTATTTTAAGTGTCCCAAAAAATACTTTTTTTCTACTTATTAAAAAAAATTAAAATTGATCAATAAACAGGGAATTTATTTTTCGATTCTTTGTAAAACTCTGAGCATAATTCATATAACAAACCATATCCTAAATTCAACTGTTTCTGAAATATTCGCATTCGAAATGTTTTTTTAAACTGTTAGAAATCAAGAAGCCTCAGTATACCAACAATTTTATTGAAAATAAATTATTATAGTGACATTATGTCAATATGTCTTGTTAAATAAGTAAAAATGGCCTACTCAGGTCCGGTTTATCAATGTCCAGTTAAAGTTGCAGTTAGTTATCTGGTAGATAATTTCCATGGATACCATTGTTCTCACAACGATCGATATGAAATTTAACCGTCAGATAGACTAACTGGAACTTAACTAGAGATTGATAAACCGGCCCTCAGACAGTTAAAGACAAACTATTTTGACTTATTATCTTAAAAATAATTTAAATATTTCAGAAACGGTTGAATTTAGGTATATGGTATGTTATATGAAATATGCTTAGAATTTTACAAGGAATTGAAAAATAAATACATATATAGGGTGATCCATTAAAAAAAATAAACTTTTTGTTTTTCCCTGTATACTGATTAATTTTCCAATTTTCTTTATACGTAGGAAAAAAGTATTTTTTGGTACCTTCATAACCACACTTTGAAATTTTTTCGGACACTTAAAATAAAAAAGTTAAAGGGGGGCGACATTACAGGGGATCACCCTGTACATCAGAATCATGATACTATTATGTTAATATTTACCTATATCATAATTAGAATATTTATTTCCCGAATTAATCTATTATTTTTAATAAATGTGTCTTCTTTAGGGTATTTGCAATTCCATTTTACTGAACCTGTATTGTGGGATTCATTTTTCTTTAGATTTAACTAGGCTTTTAAAATTGAGCAGGTGGAAATAAACCGTTTTTCCGAAAAAAAAAACCGGAAAAATTGGTAAATTTTCAGAAAAATTTACTTTTTCATTTTTTAAATTTTATTCAAAGGGGAATGCGTAAAAATACAAGTAAATTTTTCTGAAAATTTCCAAATTTTTACGGATAATATCGAGAAAAAAGTGAATTTCCTACGCTGATTATAATCATAATATGATTGTAATAATTATTCATTTTATTTTAAGTTAGTAAGATTCTATTTTTTTTCTACCGGGCCACAAAAAACATTTGGTTGGCTGTATTACTTTTATTTAACACTTCGATTTATAAAATTATGATTTTGAAAATTAAACTTTATGATTCATTCATTATTTTTGTAGTTGGATATTTTTAATGGACTTGTTTTGTTTATTTCATTAATAGTAGGTATATTATGTATCAAGTTTTATAAACAGTATTTTAGTTACGAGTTTTATTAGGCACGAGCGAAGCTTGCGAGCGAGTGTTTAATAAAAACGATCGTTTTAATTTTCATTTTATTTTAATTTAGTAAGTAAGTAAGATTCTATTTTTTTTCTACCGGGCCACAAAAAAAACATTTGGTGCTGTATTACTTTTATTTAACACGATTTATAAAATTATGATTTTGAAAATTAAACTTTATAAATCATTCAATATTTTTGTAGTTGGATATTTTTGATGGACTTTTTTCGTTTATTTCATTAATAGTACCTATGTATATTATGTATCAAGTTTTATAAACAGTATTTTAGTTACGAGCTTTATTAGGCACGAGCGAAGCTTTCGAGCGAGTGTTTAATAAAAACGATCGTTTTTATTAAACACTCGCTCGCAAGCTCGAGTGTCTAGAGAAGTTTATAAAACGAGTTGCATACTATACTTTATCCACGACGAACAGAAATAAGAATTTAAAGACGATTTTATTTCATAAAATTTGACATTTAACAAATTTAACCTCACTTTTTCGCAATTTATAATAAAGCTAACTTCAGCCCGTGACTAAAATGCCCAAAAGCCACTGTTATTAACTTCAGCGCGTGACTAAAACAACCCGTCTATGTGGGGAATTTGATTTAATTCAATGTTTAGTTTTATTTTTTTTTGTAATAAATGATACACGGTGCTGTTCTGAGAGGTGATTTTTGGACTTTCTGTAAAACCTAATTTTTCTTATATTCTTGTTAATTAGGCCATAAATAAAATTTTAAGAGCAAAATAAAAAAAATTTGACGGTTTGAATTGTTTTAATTGGCTGTTGATTAAAATTATTATGCACTCTTTCAATTATCCAATTAAAACTAGCGATTTAATTTAATATTTGCATAACTAAAAAAAAGGTTTTTACAATTATTTTTTATATATTTACTGTTTTGTTGCAATAAACGTTCAAACTTTTAATCTAACCTTTGACGTATACATTTATGTTCCCTTAATTAATATATCCTTAAAGGTTGCCATGAAACTTAGATCTATTAAAAATTTATTTGACGTTTGAATTTTCATTTTCAGTATATGTATTTTATAATTTTTGTTTAGTTTTTTAAAGTGTTTTTTATAAACAAAAATGAAAAATTGTAGTAAAAGTTACGAAGAAATTCATGAAAGGACCGGTTTATTCATCTTTAGTAAAGTTTATCGGGCCGATAACTTTCATGTCTTGGCAATATCTAGTATCCAAAGAAATTATTCGTCAAATAAATCAAAAATGAATAAATCGGCCCTAAATAAAATGTGGCACCCTTAGAATTATTGTTTAATAAATGTATACCATACATTTAACCTTAAATTAAAACATTAAACGTGTATTACAACAAAACAGTAAAAGATATAAAAAATGTATAGACCTTTTTTTAGGAAATTAACTAATCTTTAATCTGATTTAAAAAGTTATGATAATATTTAAATAAAATCGCAAGTTTTAATTGGAGAATTGAAAGTGTGCATACATATTTTTAATAAACATCCAATTAAAACAAAATTAACCGTCAAATTTTTTTTATTTTGCTCTTAAAATTTTAGTTATGACCTAATTAACAAGAATATAAAAAAAAATTAGGTTTCACAGAAAGTCCAAAAATCACCTCTCAGAACAGCACCGTGGATATTTTTTTTAAATTAAAATATTGTTAATTTTTTCAAATGTGTATATTTTCCAAAAAAAAAAATCAATTTTCCTAAAAAAATCCAATTTTTGCAAGGCCTGAAAAAAAAATGGAAAAAAGCAGTTTTTTCCCAATTTTTCCGTATTTTTTTGACACTTTAAAACCCTAGAGTTAACATAACCTAGAATTCCAACAAAAGATCTCGTGGTTAGGCTTAATTAAATTAACTCTTCGTGTTATTGTTCCAGATTGCAACGTAGACCCGTACGTCATCACCGAGGACGCGCTGACCTCCATAGCATCTCTGACGCGACGCCTGGAGCAGGAGCTCCGATCCGCCAAGCGCACCCATCTGTCGTGCGGCGAGGTCCTTCTGCCGTGCGGCCTCCTGTCGCGCATATCGCGCGACATCGTCGCCATGGCGGAATCGGAGCCGTGCGGCCTGCGCGGCTGCAAGTTGTACTTGCTCTTCGAGACCGACGACGGCTTCTGCACCAGGTTGGGCGCCGTGCAGTGCGACCTCACCACCGCCTCCACCTTCGAGCTCTACCTGACCCTGAAACAGAGCTCCACCGGGTGGAACTTTTTGCCGCAATTTTTAAGGTCAGTCTCCTGGTTGCTTGATTTTTTTAATGTTTTGGGCAGTACCATTTTATACTTTTTATTAAACCATACAAAATGGCAATGGTACTGTTTTAAATATTTAGATTACACTGTGCAACACCAAAAATCAAACCGGACCGGACTATTTTTTTCTGAAAATATACTGTAACGTTTTTACTGTTCGTAGTGTGAATTAAAACACGCACTGGTTTATTACACCAGTCACGCAAGCGCCTTCCCGAATATTCCAGCGAGCTCCGGACCGCTCTCGATCGCTCGAGCGATGACTCATCGGCGATGAGTCATCATTCCGAGATCCAGAGGGGTACTCGCTACAATACCTATTCAATAGCAAAACCCGCTGGGTTTGTAAAAGTTAGCTCGAATTTTTTTATGGCCCTTTATATTTTCGAGCTTCATAGACTTATAAATCGGTTTTTTTCGCATATATTCGATTTATATCGTCAAGATACCCATATCCCAAAACCCAATTTTTGGGAGCAAATATTCGAAAAATTACATTTTTTTCGATAATATTTAAAAGTTCTAAAATGTACTAGAGGAAGTAATTTATAATATATGCACACTAAACTAAACTTTAAGTTTGCTTATTTTCTGAAAAACAATGTTTGAACAAGATTTTACAAAATATTTATCTTTTTACACTCACTTTGAAAAATCTGTAGGAAAAAATTGAATAGATAAAATAGAATTGTAGAAAAATACAGCGAGTTTGATTTTTTATTTTGTATTAATTTTATTATTAAACATTTTTTTTATATCAAAACAATAATCTGATTTATTGCTGGAGAATTCCATCCCTTTTACTTCTTCTCCTTTATTTTCTTGTTCTTCATTTTCATTTTTTAATTCATAACTGGAGAATTATATCCCTTCCACTTCTTCTCCTTTATTTCGTAGTCAAAAATATGAATACTCCACCAACGCTAGTATGGCATCTGTAGCTCGTTTTTCTCTGTATCAAAGGCGATGACGGAAATGAATTTTTAGCGACATATTGACTCCAATTTTGGAAAAAGCATCCAACATTCGTCGCACAGATCCTTCATAATTGGGAGAACGATGTTTGCCTAAAAGTCCAACGATGATTTTTCTTATCGACGCCCACGCAACTATCTCATTGTCAACCAAGGCCCTGTTAAAGTCTTCAGACTTTACCAATTTCCGAATATCAGGACCATTTAAAATGCCTGAAATAAAATGAATATTAAAAATATTTGAAATGTTTATTGAAAATATATGAAATCGTTGCAATATATTTTGACGTAAATTTTTACATTTAATAAATAACTTTAGCCAGTGACTAAAATGCCCAAAAGCCTTTTTTCCATAAATTGTCTGTAAAATTTAATATATTATTTTGTTACGCATCAGACACATTTACAAATAAATTCAGATTTTTTTACAGTACAGACTTTTACGTTGTTTTTAGTTTTTAATGATACTTTTAGTCTACAAGTTGTAGAGATGCAACTTAAAAAAAAACGGTCCGTTTTTTTTCATTGTTTTTTTTCAAATGGTTTTTTTTCACATTTTAGGTTTTTTTTCAAGATAAGTCCCATTTGCCTAATTTTTTAGGTTTTATGGACTAAAATTAGCCACTAAATGACAATTAGTAAATGTAAATACAGTCTCGCGCTATGCACGCGCCACCACCACCGAATTGACCAATAAGGGCCGTGCTTGTTTTGATTTGGTCCTAAAAAAAGTAACTACATATAATATTTTTGATTCAGTGCTTGATTTTTCAAAAAGCTACCAAAAGCACTTTTTTCATGATTTTTCAAATTTATGTAGAGTATGGAATTTTTTTTTAAATAGCAAATTCTTGTAGAACATTTATTCATTGGTGGTTAAGTAAGAACATTCCGTGGACCAGAAAGCCAAAAAAATTCGAATTTTTTTATTACGGCATTTGTTAGGATTGAGCGTTGCACATTTTTCATCTAAAAATCTCAAAACTAGAAACTTCAAGCTTCAAATTGCTTTTTTACGGCTACAATACGACTATTTTTAACAAAGATACAGCTATCCGAAGAATCGCAAAACACCGAAGAATCGCAAAACAATTTTATCTTTTAATTTTTTGTATGGGTGTAGAAGTTTTATATTGCTACTGGTTTCTAATGTGGAAACTACCAATTAATAAGAAATCAGATTTTTTAGTCTCGGTCAAAATTTTCAATAATGAAAAATTTAATATATTCTACATTTCACTTTATTATTAATATATATTTTACTCCAAATTTCATTTTGAAAAAAAACAAAAAAAAAACCGTTTTTTTTCTAGTTTTTTTTTCATGTTTTTTTTCACATGAAAAAAACCGTTTTTTTACATCTCTGGATACTTGTAATTAAGTATTAATTTGTTCATTAAAATATTAAAAAATATTAAAAGTTCTATTTCTACTACATTGGCACCGCTGAATATGCTGTCATGGCTTGTTATTTATTTATTAAACTCTATTATCAAATAGAGATACTACCTTAAGTTGAAGCAAACTGTCATAAAATACATCTGTCCTGGTGTGTAGAAAAAAATTTCGGGGGGGTTTTGGTAAAAACAACCGCTATTAGATGTAGACTATGAAACATAGCGTGCTAAATTATTTTTTTTAATTTAATAAACTACTCGTCGAAAAACAAAACATTTTAATTTTATAATTTTTCTGTTTTGTTACCTAATTCAAATAATAAATATTTTTAAAATTTTAAAATATCATAGAAAGAATATTTCTATGAAAACACTTTGTTCGAGCTTTAATCAAATTAAAACTTTTGTAGGTGTTGTGTTGCCAACCTAATTAAATAATCATTATTGCATCATGGGATTAAACACGCTTGCGTCCAAATGACGTATTTTCTCTATTTTATTTTGTGTATTTATTTTCAGAAACTTGACCCGTGGCGGTACAGTGGTAATAAGTCCAGCTTACACCCTAAGCAAAAAGAAGCTGTACCGTTCATTTATCGAATAGAAGTTTGTCGAAACAAAATGGATAAGACTGATTTTTTTCTCTTCGTCTCTCTCACAACCTAGTTTTTAACAATCATTGTTCATTACAGACCCCATTTATGTTTCTGCGTAATTAAAAAATAATATTTAAACCGTAGTGGAAAATAATACAAATTATTAATTAAATAACAATAATCGTCATAGTTTTTAGACGTAGTTAGTACTATAAAAATAATTGAATGTGTAATATGCGACTGACATTGGGACCTGCGCAAAACGAAAACAGCGAGTCGAACGCCATCTAACGCTTCAGGGCGTTATTTTCGCATTTAAACCCGAGTAGTTTTGTTTTGTGAACTCGGGTTTAAGTGCCGAATCTACAGAGATCTGTTTTTTGCTCGGGTCCAGCCTTGTGGGATTTAGGATCAGTGATACTAGAGTGATTTTTTTGTACCTGTGGTACAACTACCCCCCGACTATCAACTTATAACAATTCCGACCAAAATTTTTGAACAATTCAAACTTTTATAGTCCACAATAAAAATTATACTAACACTGGGGGGTATTTGTGCCTGAATTAAAGATATTTGGAAATTTTCTGGAAAAATTTTCAAGAATTTTTTTGATATGATCAAAATAAGTTTATTATTATTAGGTTTTGATTGGCTCTTGTTGATAAAAGAATTTGTTTTATATTTTGTTTGTTCCTTGTTTTATTATTTGATGTTCGTCATAATTCTAAAAAATTATAAAAATTAACCAAAAAAAGGGCACTGTGACGTTAAATATTAAAAAATATTGACATTTTTCGTAGTATCTACGAATTTAAATTAAAATTGGAATCAGATTTTAATTTTTGGGATCAAATAGAAAATTTTTTTATTTGCAAGAGGCCTATCGTGTATATTATGTAAATTTTTTTGTAATTTAGTTATGGCTCATGCGTTGTGATATGAATTGTATAAAATCAAAATTTTCAATAATAAGTTAAAAGTATTCGCAATTTAGGTATTATATTTATTAATTTTTTATATATTATATATGCAATAGGTCCTTATTAATTCTAACGAAGAAACAGATGAATTTAATTATTGTACCAAAATTTAATATTTCATGCACATATCATCGTTTTTATTTGTTTAAAAGTGGGCCAGTACAAAGAATTTGTGATATATCTGTTTTTTCCCTTCATCATTCAGTATTATTATTTGCAATTAATGAGGATTACTTGTTATATTATTCAATTATAATTATGTACAGGGTGTTCACGCAACACCCTGTACATAAAGACATTTTTTGTATAATGATATCTAGATCTTGTGTGATAGATTTTGTACTTTATCAACAAATTATTATTACAATTATTATAATATTATATGTAAAATGAACATGTCAATAAAGTTTATTTAAAATAATATTAATCCATGGTTTTATTTACACAAGATACCCTTAAGAGACAAAGGAACATCTTTATAAATTTTAAATAACCCGCGCTTCTAATATACAAGTGGCCTCGTAATTTCAGCCAATCCCAGCGTTTGTTATTGCAATTGTTTTGTTAGAAGCCGGGCTCAAAATATGTCTGTTACGGAATCAGTGTTTTCTCTAGTGTTTTTTCCGAAACAAATAGTTCGCGATAATCATTTTTGAGTACATTTCGGTATTAATTAACTTTGTAAAGTGTAATCAAGAAGTATTGTACTAGAGATTGGCGGTAAGTGGGCTTTTTGCATCAGTACTTTAAATTTAAATACAGGTGTTTGTTATTATGATATATCATATATATACCTAGGTAGTTTTTTTTTAATTAATATTTTTATTTTAAATCTAATAAAATGAATATATTACCATTGATATTACTGTTAAATTAAAATGGTAAATATTACTGTTAAATTAAAATGGTAAATAATAACAAATTTAATTTTAAGGTTATATTGTATAAGTTATTTGGGTTTTTCATATAAACAATTCAATTTTAAACACAAAATCAGGAACAACATTTTTTGAAATTTTGCTGTTTTCAAACTATCCTAATTATTTCGATTGTATACCCTGACGAGTGTAAATACTTATGTATATGTAACACAAATAAAATTATTATTATTATTATTAACTTATTTAAGTTTAAAGCAAGATTTTTTATTAGTTTAAAAAATGTCAATTATAAAAAACAAATAAATAAAGTTTGGTACAGCATGTTTGTCTCCTTGATTTTCCTTAAATTAATTAACCAGCCTTCTCTTGTTTTCTATTTTGTCCCACAATCAATTCAAGTCCCTTTATTTGTCCTAATTGTCTTTGCCCTTTCTTCACTGTTTTTTTTTTACAAGGGTCTTAAGTTGACGAATAAAAATGTAAATTTATAGCCTCTAATTAGAAACTCCTCTTTTAAGGGGCTGAAATTTAAATAAGCACTTGTGAGTTACGAAATTAGAGTGGATTTCTTTAGGTTAAACTTTAATTTGGCTGACAATGTTAGGTGTTATTTTCTTGGTAGGGTTTTTTAACATCTTGAGGGTCCTAAAATTAATACCAAATCATGTATTATTATGCAATAATACGTTGATTTTTACTAAACAATTGGGGGAGTTGGCATTTATAAAAATTATCTTTTTTTATTTAAAAACATTCTTTTTGTGTTTCTACACAAAATGGACAAGGTAATTTTTTTAAATAATTTTTGTACAAAGGCTTAAATAAAAAATATTTACTTTTAAGCTTAAAAGCTCTTTATCTTCATTATTATGACCTAATTTAAAAATTTAGCACAAAAATTGTAAATATCTCACCACTGACAACTCCAATAAACTTTATTTTTTTTAAATCCGGTCATAAATAGGTCGATAAAAAGGTTTTTGTAAAAACAAAAAGTTCGACCATTTGAAAAGAAAGGTTGAAATGAAAAATAATTATTTTTAAAAGTGTTAGTCTTAATGAAACGTCCTTTCAGTCGGACGGAGGTGTTTTTTTACTACTTTTTAGTCCTTTTTTAGACTTTTTATATTTGTCTTTTTATAAATTTACCACGTAATAAATATTTTATATTTATTTAAATTTGAAAATCTCTGCTTTTCTGGCCAAGCAGTTGTGATGGATCACTCGAATTTTAGCTCATCCTAAATTTTCAATTTCTAAAGACACCCTTTAAAATTAGACGTTTAAAATAGAAAATAAAAATTGAAGGCTCTTCAGTAGTTTTTGTGAGAATTAATTTAAAAATTCAATTATTGACACATTTGACACAATGAGTGTATAGAAAAGTTTATAAAGAGGTGCATAGGTACTATACTTTTTCTACGACAAATACTTATTTTCATCTTAAAATGATTTAAATCAAAAAATTTTATAGAGCGCCATCTATGAAACAATAGGGTAAACACAGATTATAAAGGTTATAAATCGAAATGTATTTCTTGAAAATTGACAGTTTTTCACAGTGAAAGTAAAGAAAATGTTTTATGAGGACTTTACAGTGGAGTTAATTTAAGTTATAGTTTACTAGGTCAGTACAATGTTCATATAAACTTTTCAAATATTGGCGTTTAGAAACTATTTAATACTTCTGTATTTTTGTATTGAGATAATAAAATAATTATCACATTTAGTGTTATTTTACAAGAAAGGCACTTTATTTTAACAATTGTATGACATTTGACAACTGTCAACTAACTTAAAACTAACTTCAGCCCGTGACTAAAAACCTGTTGCTAACTTCAGCCCGTGACTAAAACGCCGTAAAGCCACAACTTGTCAATGTGTATTTAAAAGTTCACTTTGTGTCATGGAAACATGTACGATAATGGTGGGTAGAAAAACTATTTTATATTTTTTATTGCATATTTATTTGGAAAATACATCTTTAATATTACATAATTATTATTTATGATATAATTTTAAATCTTACAACATAGTTTATACTATACTATATACCTACTATACTATATATGTATATATACTATATATCGATGAGTTTTTGCCAAAGTATTGCAAGCAACATAACTTAAATTTAGGGAATTGAAAACATTTTTTGTCTTAAAGTCTGTTTTAAATTTAATATAGTCTAAAGGTTTTATAACAAGTAAATAGCTTATAATTATAGCTATTTACTTCTTATAAAACATACTTTAAAATAAAAAATATTTCCAATTTCCGAAATTTGAGTTATGTATATGCATAGTCGAGTTCTGTCAAGAAACACTATAAAAATTTTAACCAAAGTTATAATTAGTACATTATAGACCAGGCGGAGAAAAGCTATTATTATAGCCGAGCATACATTTTACTGCCGAGGCAGTAGATTGTGTGCGAGGGAATTAATAAGCTTTTATAAAATGACAAATCATAATATATATTATTTATTATAATCATATAATTTTTTTGTTTATTTTTTTTAATTTATCTTGTTAATAAAATTATTTGAATTTAAATTTTCTGGGTTGGATTTGCAAACCAATAAAAATTAGCGCTCTGTCTCTATGTGCAACAAACTCAATAATTTTCCTATATGGGGTAAAGGTGGGTGATTTATGTATACCACAATAAAATTTCATAAAACCCGATTGTTTATGACAACTGATTGAATCGTTTAAAATGGCATAAATTATTTTGTCGGAGTAGGCTGTGTGCATGATAAAACGAGACAAATGACGGTGCAGTACCCAGTCTAGATGATCGTGACCCAGATGCCGTTTTTTGAACTTAAAATCGCAAGCAAATACAAGAACCATAGACATAAAACGTTCATGATAAGAAGTGAAATGATCTTTAAGATTTAAGAAATAATCGAAACAAAATATCTTAACTATATAGTTATAACTTAATAAAGTTAATTAAAATGATTGACAGATGTATTTTCTGAGTAATAAAACCACCATAACATAATATGTTATGGTGGTTTTATTACTCAGAAAATACATCTGTCAATCTGTTAAATCCTTTTAAATAATAAAATATTTTTAAAAATTAAAATATAGAATTCATAAATCAATTTTTTACTTCTTTATACTTAAAATAGCTCCATCTGTGGAATAAAATGCATAAAGACCTTTTTCTTATGACGGTTCAAAAATAAAAAGTTTAAACGTGTTATTCTCTAATTGTTTGATGTCTATGGTTTTAGAGTTGGGTTTCGCAATAATTTCGCTATAATTTTACGCGTTGCACGCTATGAACGAAATAAATTAAACATTAATAATAGTCTCTCGACGTGAATTGTGTGTTGTTCTTTCTCGTTCTCGTTGCTAATAATAAGGCACGTAGGTTTATTGATGTTGTTGCCTTTTGGGAGGGGCCATAAAAAACAAACGATCTCGCTTATTGGGTAGCCATGGCAACAGCAACAACTAAAAAAGATTGAACGTTGTAGATATGTTTTTTTATTTATTCCTAATTGTTCCAATTTGTTTGAAATTTGTTTGTTTATTGTTCATTTGATCATTAATCATTAACTTAGTATTATATTAAATTCAAGGATAGGGTTGTCAAAATTTGATGGATGATTCGTTTTAAATTTTATTAACAAAAAAATTAAACGAAATTTTGGCGTTGTCCTTATTTCGTTTAAAATATACTGACAATATAAAAATAAGAATAAACAAAATTTATTACAAAATCACAACTAAAAACGAAAAAAACTATAATATTTTTAATAAAAATTATCCTAGAGAATCCATTAATATTATTGGGACCCAGATTCATAGACAATATAACGTAACTTTCAAAACTTAACGAATATTTTTTTGTCAAAAATTAAATAAAGTAGGTTCGTCAGTACATTGCGGGGAAATGGGTAAGGGGAGTTGCTTTTATACAGCAATAGCGACGGGGTACCAACTTGCGAAAACAAAATTTACTTTGTCATTTTATTACATTTAAAAATAGCCACCACAACTGATTTTATAATTATTTTTTATTTTAATACATACATACATTGTAACAAAAAAACGTAAAAAATAGAATTTAAACGCGACTACATCGCGAGGAGTGGATAGTTGGTTTCCATGGTAAAACTTTTCGCTATTGACAGTGGCAGTGACATTACTATATGCAGACTGCATAATGCAGTGTTATTTAAAGTCTTTAAATGAGTTGTTAAAACAAATTATTATGTTCTGTGAGGTCCACTAGAAAAAAATAAATATTAAAAAAGGGCATGGGAACCAAAAATAAAGCAACACAAAACATGCAGTATGTTGAATTCAGCCAAAGTCTCAAGCAAAAACAAAATGTCTAATTATGAAAAAAATAACTTACAATAAATAACAATACAATTTGTTTTTAATAATTTACTTTAAAAACGAAATTATGGTAGTCAACAAATAAATCAACCCAAATATTCCTATATAATTACGTTTTCGTAATCCATTGTTCCGAATTTTCTAGACGAAAATGACAGATTGATAGTTTTGGTTGTACAACATTATTGTTTATTATTGTAGAATTGGCAAAATGTGTATAGTATTTTTTAAACTCTAAATGGCTCTTTAGTTATTTATGTCCAAGGCTGATATATCTTTTTGTGCTGAGCTCAAAGTTTGAACGAAGCACAAAAAGAAACTTCTAAGCCGCATGGCATATACTAAGTGGATACATGTACTTTGCTCAACTCTAAATTAAGACCTGTATACACAAAAAATACATATTTTGTATTATTTTCATAAAATAAGACGAAATAAACGTTAAACTGACAGATAGATAACTTCAATTATTTTTATTTGTTACCTTTGGATGTGGAATATGGTACCTACGTACTTTTAACGGCGATTTATAAAAAGAAGTTATGAATTAATTAACACTTTACGGCAGTTTTAATGTGTAGAAATTAATATGGAATAATAAAAACTGTAAACAAAGTGTTGGACCATTTAATAATTATAATCCATGACAAGTTTTTTAAGTCATTAGTTTAAAAATATAAATAAAAAATAATTTATACAAAAAATAAAATTATTATTTAGGTATAAACAAATTTTCCATTTTTAATGAATTTATTAATACCTATCGTACGATATTCTAAATTTAATTCACAAAATTTACCAAATTGCAAAATTAATTCAGCGGCTTGAAGTCTTTGCGGTTTTAAAGCAATTGTCCGGAGATTTACATTCATTGTAAGGTTTGTTAACTTATTTAAAATGAAGCTACACAGTAAATGTTGCATGACATATATTTCGAACTAAACAGGAATTTATAATCAATCAATCTACGCTCTCGCCGAACGTCTAATATTGAATGCCCCCGCCATTCCCTCGCTCCGTATGTTCAGCGACAAACACCTACGCTTTGTAGCAAGGGACTTCTCCGATTTCAAGGAATAGACCACCAAAACTGAATACGTTAACACGGCCTTTCCTGACCACCGGTTGTCCTCAACCAGTCTGAAGCAACTCATAGAATCCTTCTGTAATTAAAGTATGATTAAGTATATTTAATATAAAAATAAACAAAACAACATAAACAAAACAAAACAGGTATTTTATAAAAGAAATAAAAGATAAGGGGCCCCATGATTATAGTTATTTAAAGTGGAAGTCAGAAGCACAGTACCGACCAGCTAAATACCTGCAACCTCACGATACTGAAGTTCCTCCAGGTATTTTCTGCATTGTACCCCAAGATAGAACTTGCCGTGCTCTTCCACCGGAATGCATTCCTTAACCTTTCTTCTGGACCGAAGAAAGCCAGGCAATAAGCCTGCCAGGCAACAAGCCTGCCGTTACCTTTAGTAACGAATCCAGGGACGCATATTGTCCACTGCAGCCACACCACAATACTTACGCCTGGAACGAACAGTTCCCGGAATGTCCTGTACCTCGAACCGATCGTTATCCAAAACCTGGCTAACCCTAAAAGGTCCTCGCCATTTTGGCAATAACTTGGGACTAGTACCAGTGGCGGCCAGACTTGTTATCCTAATTAGCACCAAATCGCCAACCTCATATTTCTTTGCAGAACATCGCTTTGCATCAAATTGACGTTTTTGTTGTTCCTGATATTCCTGCATGTTCTGAATAATTCTTTCTCGCAACTCGGTGACATCCACAACTTCCTGATTTTCTACTTCCAGCTGTCCTTTGCAAACAACTCGGAAACCCATCAAAACCACTGGGTGCAGCACCAGTTGAATGTTGTCGATTTTGTGTCCCATTCATCATCATGAACACCGGATCCCATGGCAGCAAGCGATTTCAGGAGAGTTCGGTTGTAACGCTCCACCTGCTCGTTTGCCCTAGGTGGAACAGCAACAGCAGTCAAATGATGCTTTACTCCTATTGATGCTATGAACTCAGCAAAGGCTTTTGAAGTAAAAGCCCTGATCAGTTATTACCCTTCGTGGTACACCAAAAATCTGAAACATATCTTTTAAGCATACAATTGCGTATTTAGAGGAAGAATCTTTTACGGGATAGATCCTAATAAATTTTGTGAAAGTGTCGACAACAACAAGAATTTGAGTTTTACCTGACTTGGTTATGACAAAAGGTCCCAAGTGGTCAATGTGGATCGTATGGAATGGATTTGGTTCTTTTGGTTCACCATTGTATAATTTGTATAAAATTGTAAACTATTTCTAGACTTACAATAAGTAATGTCTTGCTGTTCGGTGAAATTTTGTCCTAATAAAATTTCTACACCCATAACACATTTGTCAACAACCAGCAAATCTATATATTTTATAATATCATCGATTTTAATTTTCGCTTTTACATATGAATTAACCTTGACCTTAAAATCTCCCAACATCACCAGCGCGCTGCAGCGATATTTGTTTTCTTAGCTGAATCGGCGTTAAATTTAATGACCGAAACGCCGATTGAGTCACAAGAGAGGTTTTACTGCCGAAATCGATAAAACATTTCGTCGCATTATCGTTTAAATAAATATTTTTAAAGAATTTATTGTTTGCGGTGTTACCTATAAAATTAACGCGCCTACATTCTGTTGACAATTGTTTATTTTGATATTGGGGTTTGACACCAGCGAATCGTGATTTCCGCGGACAATTTCGTTTAACGTGACCTGTATTCCCACATAAAAAACAAGTAACATTTTTACCCAAACCCTTAGCTATGCCATTACTTGAAGAAGGAAACGATACTGAGTCTTGTTTTTGTTTTTTTATTTGTGCATTTTTTTTACTCTCGTCTACAATACTAAAATGTTGTGCTAATGTATATGGGTCTTTAACACCCGCCGCTTCTACGGAGAATTTTATTTGGGTATCTTCAATTCCCCCCATTATTAAATTAACTTTGTCTTCTTCGTTTAAAGGAATTTTTAATTTATGAATAAACGTAAGTTTCTTAAAAGTATATTCGTATAAACTTTCACCCGGAACAGGAATACACCCCATCATGTCTTGTAAGGATTTATATAAGTTTCTTTTAGGTTTAAAATTTGTTAAAAGCATATCTTTCCATTCCGGCCACGTAAACATACGTGTGGGAAGACCCCGGTACCAAATTTCTGCTGGCCCTCTTAATTTACTAAGCGCCAAATAGCTTACTGTTTTATCGTCCCACTCATGCATAATAGCGTATTCATCAACTGAATTGACCCATTCGACAATATTGTTGGTCAGCGGATTAAACTTTTGAATAATGTTATTATTTAAAGACATACTTACATTACCTCCTCGTATACCTTTATTTACCAATTCTCCTATTCCACTAACTATGGCTTTACCCATGTTTTCCAAAGATGCCTGAACACTGTCAGACGCAGCAAGGGAAGATCCTTCTTCATAAGCACCTCGCTGGCGATGGCGACTTGAAGATCTGGATCTGGAGCGCCGTGATCTGGACTGTCCAGAGCTATGTTGGAGCCCCGCATCATACCTTTCCATCTGTCGGGACCTTTGATAGCTGTTATTGTCATCGCCGTTACTTCGGGGACAATGATTTCTCTCCTCACGTTCCACAGACCTTTCCCGTGAATAACGGCGAAGCATTGTTAGTTATTGGCACAAAAACTAAATAACACAATACTGGCGCACTGGATTACTTATCTCACTTCTGATGTTAACTTATTTAAAATGAAGCTACACAGTAAATGTTGCATGACATATATTTCGAACTAAACAGGAATTTATAATCAATCAATCTACGCTCTCGCCGAACGTCTAATATTGAATGCCCCCGCCATTCCCTCGCTCCGTATGTTCAGCGACAAACACCTACGCTTTGTAGCAAGGGACTTCTCCGATTTCAAGGAATAGACCACCAAAACTGAATACGTTAACAGGTTATTATTCATTATTTATGAATTCTTGGAAAAATGCAATTATTATGGAATCAAACGATATCGCGGTACGGTCAGGTGGCGTACTCGTTATTATAAGTTGCCATGCAGTCTACCATTTACAATAATTCCTCGAAATGCTCCATTATAATTATTTGCGGCCTTGACTTTTATTTTTTGCAATTTACAACTAAGTAAGTATATCAAATCATTATTATTTTCGTAATAAACCGTAACTAGCTTTTGCAATTTAGCACACATAATTGTTGGTAAAAACTTAATCTTCCAATAATAATAATAATATAAAAATGGCGTTACGTGTGGGAGATCTTGCTATTTTAATTTAAAATTGTCTCGTTAATAATGGTTGTTTAAGGGTATTATTTTTTTTGTTTTGATTTTTTCCTGCCATGAATGTTTATCATGCAAAAACTTTTGTTTCACCCCAATAGGGTACACTATCCTTCTAAATATGTAAGGGTTTTTTATTTGCAACAGCATTTTTAAAAATTGGAAAAAACAATCATTTTGATCTAATTTGAGATTTTTTTTCGACTTCTGGATTTTGTTTTTAATGTACACGTGGCCGCCATATTGAAATGGCCATTTACAGGGTTAGATAGCTAGAAAAGGAATCTAACGATTTATTAGGATAATACAATATTTTTTTACGACCACTATGTAAAATTCACGTTTTGTAATGGCATCGTTGCTTAGAAAATGAATCTTTTCATTGGCAAGGCAAAACACGAATGTAAAGTGACATTTCTGTGTGAAAAGTGACAGGTCTGTGTGAAAAGAACATTGACAGTATCGTTTGACATTCGTTTCAAAATTTGTATTGTATTATATTGTATATGTTTGTCTAAATATCATTTAGAACACAATTAATTGTGTTAGGGCCGGATTATCAATGTCCGGATAAAGTTGCAGTTAGTTATCTGGCAGATAATTCCCATGGATACCATTGTTTTCACAACGATCGATATGAAATTTAACTGTCAGATAGACTAACTGGAACTTAACCAGGGATTGATAAACTGGCCCTTAGTATAATAAATTCCAATTTTAGTGCCTTTATTAAAATTGAGAAGGTAAGTTTATTGAGTTTAAGTAACTTATAATTTAAAAATTAAAAGAATGAGATGAAATTAATTTTAACAGCTGTCAAACACGTTTTTAGGATATTTTGTTTTGTATTTGAATATAATGAATACAAAAAGGGTCGTCGAAAAAACATTGTGTTTCAATTGTGAGAAAAGCTTTCTTCAAGCTCGTGTTAATGCACACTCGGCCTGACGGCCTCCTGGGCATAAAAAGTCGCTTTTCAACACATAAAACAAGTAACTATAACATTTAGTATTATTTCATAAAAAGTGCACTTTATTCTAACGATTGTATGATATTTGAAAACGATTTGCTGTGTGCAGTCTTAGTTGCATAGTATGTACCGATTGCGGCAAAGGCCACTACACCAAGTTGCCAGACACTGATGAGACCCAATATAGGTCGAAACAGCTGTCTGTCGGTTATTTGAAGTTGGTGGAACGCACTCAAAACAAAAACTTTGGCGAGGTGAAGGTTCAATTATTTCTTATGGATATTACCAGAAATGGGTCAAGAAAGTTTCTTGAAGAAACTAACAAAAATAAATGTTAACCTTTTAATTTGCTCCAAATTAAAATTTTCAGTAACAGTACATAACAGTTAAATTATGGGTTGTTTCCATGTTAAAACAAAACATTAATTATTTACTTGTCGAGATTTTAAAGTACGCCTATTCAACAAAGGCATAGTGAAATGTGCTGAAAGTGAACAAAATTTGTTTTAAGTATGTGTTTTTTCTGTAAAAAGCAATTAAAGAATGGCGCAGATTGATACAACAGCACGCTACATTACCCTTTTATCTGTGGTTTTAACCCTTATAAGTAGTCCAAGTTTTGACGTTTCCCCCTCGATATAACCTACAAATGTGCTTGAATTATTTAATTCGACGCCATTTTTTAGTTCACATTTGGCATAATTTTAACTTTCTGATTATAAACGTATACGCCTCCACTCTTCCTAACTAAGCTATAAAACTATAAAAAATCTATTGTCTTTATACTTTTACTTTGCCATGGCATAAATGTATTTTCGTATTTTATGAATGTATGATACTATGCCAACTTATACCTACCTTAACTTAATAATAATTAATACATTTGACACACTAACAAAAAACAATGCAAAATTCAAGCGTGGCCATCGGCTATGATGCGGATGACTCATCGATTTCATCTGATCACCTGGCCGATCGACAATTGAACATCGAAATAATAAAAGCCCGGCCTACTGCCGCTGCAATACCGCTTTTTATAACCTAGCGAATAATTGCTTAGCAACAAAGTCTGCTGCAAAGTTAAATTATATAGTCTGTTTGAAGTAAAATGAAATTATGTTTGTAATTTAAGTGAACTGAATTAACCAGGAAGTAAATTGCACTAAATGTTCTTTATGTTATTTTATTTTTATTATTTATATTTTTTCTGGTTGTACTTATGTAAATCTAGTGTAAATGAAATATTTACAATTTGGCCGAATCTTTACGAAACCGACTATAGTTGTTATTCTTTTGTCCGTGCTGTAATTAAAGAAAAAAATAATCTAGCCATGAACGAATTAGTTTCTTTTGCAATTTGGTTGAATATATGTTTATCCTGCTCTCCGGTGGGTAATTACTTTTATGTAACATTTTGTTTAATATTTTTTATACTTTGTGCAATTTGATTCAAAAGTAGGTAGGTATCAATTGAAGGGGTCGAGTAACATTTAAAATAATAAAGGACAAAAATATTGTAATTAAAATCTATACAATATAATAATGTATTATTAAAAATGTTACTTAACCCCTACATCCTTCAATTCGTAAATAATTTTGCTGGTCACCATGGCAACAATTCATTTAGACGTATTCGGTACCGAAATAAGGATCTAAATTTGGAAAAGGACGAACACGTGGATAACATAACAATTTTCCTGTTTTCTTTTCTTGTATATTTTCTATGCAATAGTCTTTGATGAATTTTTAAAGTAACATTGAAATATTAAATTAGTTTTCATGTTCTTGCTTCGATTTTTTTTAAATCATAAGAATAGTAAACTTGTTTATTTTTAACAATTTTTAATTTTTTTATATTACCTAATTTAAAAAATTACAAGTAATAAAATGCATGTTTGGGATTAAAAAAATTAAATTATTTTTTAGGATATTATTGTAATACGAACTTTAAAAATGTGTAAAAGTAAATTAAATTAAATTTTTATCAGTAAGATGATAACCATTTTTTAGGAATAGATTGAGACACACTTATTTTTTAATAAAAAATGTTGAAGATGACCAGCAGAGAAAAAATAATAAAAATGTACGCGGCTGCTACTTGCTGTGGTGTACACTGTTATATAATCAGATTTGTTAACATGAGTTTGTAGTTTCTTAATTTTATTTTGTAAAATTTTAACATAATTTTTTTTGTAGAAAACCAAGTTTCTAATTATTTTAACAAAGAAAAACTGCTTCTATATGGATTAGTTAGGGTTAGTCTGTTTTCAAGGTATACCTATAGGTATACATTTTATTATTATATAAGTATCAATAATTGTTTAATAAAAATAATAATATAATTCATATAATAATAATTAATGGTAAAAACACCGTCAAAAATGTTTATTGGGATGGTTACTTTATTTTCGTACAGCTTTATACAAATATTTAATTTAAATCATGTTTTAGATAATATTAAGTATTTGTCGTAGAAAAAGTATAGGTAGTATGCAACTCGTTTAAAAACTGAAAATAGGAGATATAGCGAAGTGGGTTAAAGTTACGAAATACATCAGTAAGTGTTGTAGTAGTACTGATAATTATATTTTACCAAATTTCTTTACAATTTGATAATTTCAGAATGGTGTGTTATTTAATTGTGTGTATGATATTTTTGTGTTCATGAACATTGCAAATGCATTTATGTAGGTATGTGTTAATGTTTTTGTTTAGGAAATTGATTAATAAAGCAACATATCTTATCAACATTATTTTCATTTGTGTTCCCAATTTCCAACAAATACTTTTTTTACTGGGTCTACAAAAAGGTTTTTAAAAATAAGGTCCTTTTTAAAAATTACAAGAATTATGGTTGAATTTTTGTCATAGAATTTTGTTATTAAATCTAAAAAATGTTTGTTAAAATTACTTATAATAACTTATTCAATTAGTTAACAGATTACAGTTGGTTGTAAAGTTAACATAAAGTTATGTGGACCTGGATTAACATAAAATCTGTTTATTATTTGGTTAAAATTAATAATTTTGTTTTACTTTGTACTTATTGCGGAGACATAAGAAAAACTGTAGCGGTTCGTTTCGTATCGCTCCCGCTCGCGAGTATCAAGTATCAGTATCAAATACGCATCATGCGGAAAAGAGTAAAAATTGATGCTTATCGTACCATAAATGAACCTATACAGTGGTAAGATACGTTAATACAATACGTGGATACGCAACAAATGTGGACGCACCTTTAAAAGGGTTCGAATATCCGCTTTTTCGAACTAAAAATTGTTTTAGAAGTAAACAAAAATGTTTTTTTGTAAATTTTGTAAATAAATTTATTTCTCTACAATAAGGTAGGTATTCATTATCGCATAAATAATGTGGTTTCAGTTGGGGATCCAGAATTTTGGTTTGGGAGGGGCTTGACCCAGCTTAGGGTAATTTTTATAAAGGTTAACACTACAAAAGCACACAAAACATGCGTAGAGGTCGGATTTTGGGGAAGGCTTGAACCTCCCCTGGATCCACTACTGGTTTCAAAGATAATTTAGAAAATTTCGATTTTATCTTAAAACTCCATTATTATAACTGAAATCGATATTATCTCTGAAACAATAATATTTAAGTATGCAATAATTGAAAAGAATGTTTTTGTATACAGTAAAATTTACCAACGAACTTAATTTAAAA